TCTGCGTCGTCACCCGCAGTGAAGCCGCCAGCGTCGCAGCCGCACTCACAGACTGCGCACGGCATTCTGAAACATGAGCATCTGAATAAAGCTTCCAACGTGAGAGGCAAAACCAAAAACAACAAAAAATGTTACTTTGAAAATAAACGCAGACGTTGTAGGTAGCTGAAGAAAAGTTTTAGAAAAAATACAAATAAGTTAGTATTCTCTGATGAATAAGAGAAGAAACTGCATCCATGAAATAAGAACCGGATGCTATTTAAAAAATTTAGAAGACACCCCTCCACCAATAAAAGCTCTTAGGAATTAAAAATATGATGATAGGAAAGTAAAAATTTAATAGTAGGGTTGAGATATTTATTAGAAGTAAAACATGAGATATTTTTAAGAGTAGAAGAGAAAAGATAAAATTAGAGGACAGATCCAAGAGATCTGATATTTAAGTAATGTAAGTTTCAGAAAGAAAGAACAGAGAACACAGAGAAAATTATACAACAGAAGAAAACCAGCCAGAAATGAAGAGTATGATTTTTTAGACTGAAAAGGTCTCTAAAGTACTAGGACGATAATAATAATAATAAAAAACAACCCAAAACAACCCCCCCCTAAACAAACCCAACACCAAATAACAACATCATGAAATATCAAAATACGAGGAACAAAGAAAAGAAAACCATACAAACTTTCAGAGATTAAAACAAAATACAAGGGATCAGGAATTGGAATGGCATCAACTTCTCAACAGCACCATAAGAAAGTTGAAGAAAATAGAGCGAAGCTTTCAAAATTGAGAGAGGAAATGATTTCCGATTAATGTCCTATACCCAGCCAAACCATCAATCAAGTGTGAAGGAAGAAAAGTGACATCGTAAATGTGCATGATCTTAAAAAGCAACCATGTCTTGTGGGGCCTGAATCTTATATAATTTTGGGATCCCTCTTTAAGAAAAGACATAGGCTGGGCATGGTGGCTCACGCCTGTAATCCTAGCACTCTGGGAAGCCAAGACGGGAGGATGGCTTGAGGTCAGGAGTTCGAAACCAGCCTGAGCAAGAGCGAGACCCTGTCTCTACTAAAAATAGAAAGAAATTAGCTGGACAACTAAAAATATATATAGAAAAAATTAGCCGGGCATGGTGGCGCATGCCTGTAGTCCCAGCTACTTGGGAGGCTGAGGCAGGAGGATCGCTTGAGCCCAGGAGTTTGAGGTTGCTGTGAGCTAGGCTGACGCCACGGCACTCTAGCCCGGGCAACAGAGTGAGACTCTGTCTCAAAAAAAAAGAAAAGAGAAAAAGACATATAATTACAAATACTGTACAAAATTGTGTATGAAAGTGCATATGTATTTAGAATGAGAAAGGAAATCACAGCAAACTGGGGGCGTGGAGGCTCAGGGCTCTTCCTTTTGAGATAGCTTTAGAAAATTTACCCCAAATACTTATTTTTTTTTCTTTTTCTTTTTTTCCTTTTTTTTTTTTTGGTAGAGATGAGGTCTTGCTCTGTTGCTCAGGCTGGTCTCCAGCTCCTGGCCACAAGTGTCCTTCTAAGTCAGCCTCCCAAAGTGCTGGGATTACAGGCCTGAGGCACTGCACCAGGCCACTCCAAATGCCCCTTGATGGCAACCCGACTTTTCCTACCCACTGGACAACTCAAAGCAACTCACAGCACTCAGGGCCCCCTGAGCTCATTCGGCTCCAGAATAAATCTGCCTCTGCCTCCACTCGCCCTTTCTCAGCAAGCTATGCTCTAGTGAAACCAAAGAGTAAAGCCAAGGAATGGAAAGATACAGGATTCAAGAAACAGGAATCCAGTATAATTCCCAGGTAGCAGTGAGGGCAAGTCCCAGGCTAACAAAAGGCCCAGAGAATAACCAGTCCCAGAGAATGGAGGACTAAGTGGGATGTTTCCGTGAGAAAAAATCAAACTGATTAGTTGCTTGATGTTTAACTGTATTGAGAGGAACTTTATCATTCTGTCCAAGTTTGAGAAAGAATTGGCGATGAGTACTCAACCAAGCAACTGAAGAAAATGTAGCAATTACTAACTCCAGTGGGGAGGGGGGAGTTGGCTAAGAAAGGAAGTGAGAAGATCATGGTATATCACATTCCCGGGTTGAGAATAATATTTACGTAGTCATAATGATGTAAACACTAAACACTGAATATCAAAAAATTGGGATGTAACTATATTGAGAGCTTACAAGAAAGGGAAGTAAACGTGAGATGGAGTGATGGGGTGTAAACGAGCTAAACCCTCATCCTCCTAGGCAGGATGTCAATGGATGTTATGCAGAACCAGAAAAAAGAAAAAGAAGTGGCCAGTATTGGCATCTTATTAGGAATATGATGGTAAATATCAGGAAAACAGCCAAAAGCATTGAAAGTAGTTGCCTCTAGGGAGGCAACTCAGGATAAACTCAGTAAAAACCTTCTAGAATTGATGACTTCTAAGACTATCTATTGATTTATGTTGACCAAAATAGAAAATTTAAAAAGAAAACAACAGCCTCGAGAGGAGTGAGGCAGAAAGCTACTGGAAGTGAAATGAAGGCACCTCTGCTAAACTACCCTCTCAAAATGCCGTGCTGTAGCCACCTGCAAAGAAAACCCTCGAGGGTGCTGTGGCATTCTGGAAGAAATTCTGGTTTGAGTCCTGGCTCTGCCATTGAATAGCTGGGTCATCCTGGGCCAGATACACAGTGCCTCTGGAAACATTTCTATTTCTTCATTCATGAAATACGGATTCTACCCTTACCTCACAGTGCCGTGTAGACAAATCACCTTGTGCTCTGTAAAGCCCGTTATTATGAAAAGACTACCAGATTATTATGAAAAGACTAATCTGATACTGGCTTGTAATATCTAAGTCTATCTAAAGGGGAACGCGGGGTGTGCCTTCCTATCTTTGGTTTAATTCTGCGTCACCTACAGGAGGCTGATAGATCTTTTGACTATCCTCCCTCCAGCAGTGTACTTTGTGGCCGTGTAATCTTTATACAAGAGGACAGCGAAGAGAAACAACAACAGCTAAAATTCAAATCATCTCTTTTTGTTTGTCTCTAGGCTCAGTGAAATTTTGGGGGAGAGTTCAGATGAAGTTGGGGATTACAGCATTCACCTGTGACCTCTAATTGCTCACACTCGGTATGGTCTGGTATTGTGACAATCTAGTGTTTGTCTTATGCCTGTTTATAGAAACAAATATGAAATGTGTCTACATAGGTACTATTAGTTGATGACACACTAGTGACTTCAATTCTCCTGTAATAAAGAGTTTTGCAATAGTGGGACTTTGGCTTTGGGAGTGGCTCCACGTATGATAAAACTGCCCTCACCCATCTGCAATAAGCAGGTGTGTTTGAGGAAAAGAGATAATGCTTTGATTTTACCCAACGTAGGTAACATCTGTACTTTGAACAGTTAAGCATGGCAGCTGATGTTATCGTGAAGGTAATGAGGCGATAAGAAACAGGTCTTTTTTTTTTTTTCTCTGAACCCCTTTTCCCCTCCAGCCCTTGCCAAATCCTATCTCAAAGTGCTGTTTGCTAAGATTAAGCCAGAGCCATAACCAAGGACATACTGGGGGAGATCCCAGGTCAATAACTGGTGCCAAAGGTGACATTCAATAGCTTGAGGTCAGCCACTACAGCCACATCTGCTGGAAGGGTTGGCGGCAACCCACAGAATGTGAGGAAAAATGTGTGGGATGAGGATGAGTGGGTGGCAGTGCCGTCTCCATCTTCCATGCAAGAAGTGGGAGGAAGTCAAAGCTCTTTAAAAAGAAGGAAATTGCTCGGCTCCTGTAATGGGAGGACAAATAACGGGTAACCAGAGATACTACCCTACTCTCCACCTATCTCAGGCACTCCCCCTTGTAAAATCAAGGGGCCATATTCAATAAAGCCTTTATATCAACTCCACATCTTTTTCCAGAAGCTTCCTTAAGCCACCTGAAGAACCAAGTGGGAAGCGCGCTGGGCCCCATCTCCCAGTGCGTTCTGATTCTCACCCGGAGGCTCCCCACGGCACGACACTCACGTTATATTGACCATGTTGCATAGCTGGTTGAAAACGGTACATTTTTAATGAACAATAGCCATAGTTCCCATTAAAACGCGGCGCCCGTTTGGCAGACAGCGCCACCGCGGGCCGCACGGCGCCGCCGCAGGCAGGAGGGCGCGGCCGAGGCCGGCTCCGCGGAACCGGTCGAGAGAGTGGGAAGGAAACGGCCGCTCCTGCGACTTGCAGGAGGGGTGCCTGCCCTCGCATTTTAAGACGATTTCTGTCTCATAAAGCGCTAGGTTTCCCCGGCTGAACACGAATCTGTCTTCCATTGAGAGCTAGGCCAGAGCTCCGGAGCCCGTTGCTCTGCGCCCAGGCACGGCCGCCACTCAAGCGCTCCCACCGCCGCTCCCGAAGTCCGCTTCTGCCCACTGTGCCGCGAGTGGACGCGGAAACACGGCTCAAGGGACTTGGTCGATCGCCTCGTCTCGTTAGGTCGCAGGCTAGTGTCTGGGTCACGCATCGGTGGCCGGGAGCTGACGAGGGCGGGCGGGACGCAAGCGCGCAGCTCGGGAGCAGACTGGGGACACCCTGGACGCCCGGCCAGATGCGAGCCGGCACGGGGCGGGCTGTCCTCGGACCCCGCCGCACGCGCAGGCCGGGGGACGTCCCGCCTCCCCTCCCCCGCAACGCAGTCGACCGGCTCGCCGGGGCCACCGGGCAATATGCACTCCCGGGCCGCTGGCGACCGGACAGAGGGGCGCAGGGCGCGCCCGGCCAAGGCCCCGAGGGGGCTTCCGGGTCAGCTCCCGCGACCCCAGGGCCCCCGCCCGCCCCCGCCCACTAGCCGAGCCTGGGTCCCTGTCCGAGCTCTCCTCCCCGTCCGAGCCCCCTGCCCGGCGCAGCCCTCTTCTCCATCGGGGCGCCCCTCCTAGGCGAGGGCCCCTCTCCCTGCGAGCCCCGCTCCGGTCCGAGCCCCCGTCCGTGCGGACGTCTGACCTGTGCCCAGCGCCTCGGAGCCGTCCGCTGCCCGCGCCCCGCGCAAGTGCGCCGCTGGGAGCAGGTGGCAGCTCCTGGCCCGCCCCGCCCCGCCCGGCCCGCTCCACCCGGGGCAGCCCGGCCCGGCCCCGCCGGCGCGCCAGGCCTCCGGGTCGCCAGGCCCGCCCTTCCCTGCACGCCCCGACCTCCCCGGAGAGGCCGGGGGCCCGCCCCCCGGCACTCCCGCAGGTGTGAGCTTGGCCGTGACCTCCGTCCCACAGTCGCAGTCCGAGCAGAGGCCGTGGCTCCCAGGACTGTGTACCCAGCCAGGCAACCCCCGCCAGCACACGGAAGTAGCCACGGTGGACCCCCGGAAAGGGAAGTCCCCAGTGGTGCATCAGAATCCGGTTTCTCTAGTGTAAGCTTGGTGGCTGACCCCTGGGTGTCACATGTTCATTCCTGCATTCATTCTTTCGGCAGATCTGCCATGTGCTTTTCTGACAGCAGATCTGACAGGTAGTCACAGTTCTACGGGCTGGGACAGAGCTGCGAAGCAGACAAGTCCCTGTCCCGGAGAAGCTGGCTTCCTGCTGAGGACCGCCAGACCTTCTTTGGTTGGCCTCCTGGAATGGTTCTGCACCTGTGGGTTGCCCGTCGTCCCTGTGGACGTTAGGAACATACAAGAGCCAAAGGCTCTACTCAGACCTACTGATAAGGATCTGGTCCTGGAAGCTGCACCTATTAAAAGCTTCTCAGGTGACCTGAGGAGGACTGGGTTGAGAACCAGGGGCCTAGATCTCTAAGATGCCTTCCAGCTTATTCCTGTTGAGGGCACTGGCAACCAGGGAAGGCTTCATGGAAGAGGTGTTTGTATTAAATATTTGGATATAAAACGGATATACACTAGCAGTGAGTGCAGAAGGGCACAGGATCCCAAGGGCAACTTCTTTTGATCCAATAGCTTTTCTTTTCTGTAAAGTCAAAGAAATCCCCTTTGAAGGGTAAGGAGGCCCGAGCAGGTGCTTCCTCTGTAAAACAGAGAGAATGGGACCTGGTGGCGAGGGGTGAGCCCATCAGTTAAAAGGAGGATGGAACCGCGCACCTTAGTCGGAGAATGGGCCACCGATAGGAGGCGGGAGAGAGCATCACCATGTCACCAGGCCTCATCCTGGCACTTGCTCACACCCCTTGTTTTTGAAATGTTTGATAGGGTGGAGTCCTGGATGCCTGTCACCTGGGAGAGGCTGTTCTCTGTCACCAGGTGCCTTTTACGGGCAGGCTTTCTCTTTAGTAATGTTTTCTTTTCCTCTACTGCAGTGATGATTAAACCAATGTGTGATCTCTTAATTGTATGGTTACTGGTGGGTAGAGATCCTTCTTAATGTTGAAAAATCAGAAATAAGAAAATTGTCTCTGCCTCAAATTATAATAACCAGGTGCTGGGACAAACCAGTTTTTTAAAAAATAAGTTTGACTGTCTGATTCAATCTGTAAAAACAGCTTAAACAGCTTCAATCAAGTAGTTAAAAAAGGTAAATTGCTAATGAATCAACTATAAATTAATAAAATAATACCACCTAACAATTATTACCAAGGTATTTTAATATAACAGTGGGACAAATTAGTGTTCTGAAATAGATCCAATTATATGTTGATGTTCATAAACACGAGGATGGCGTTTTAATTAAATGGGAAGTGGTTTATTTTATAAATGTTGCTAGTATCATAGACTGTTCTTTCAGAAGATCTTATCATAGAGTTGCTCGTTATCTGACTTCCTTTTGGCCATCATGGTGCTAGCTGGGTACAGGACCACCCAGAATAAGTACTATTTTTCCCAGCCTCCCTTGTAGTGAGGAGGAGTTATGTGACTAAGTTTGGGCCAATGGGCTGTGAGTGGAAGTGATACGGGCAACTTTGGGGGGTGTCCTGGAAGGAAAGGGGTGTGCCCGTCTTCTCCCCTTGTCCTCCCCTGCTGCCTGCAACGTGGACATGGCAGTGAGCCAATCTCGGACCAACGGTCAGGCAAGAGCATACAGGGAGGCTGGATTCTTGGATGATTTCACGTAGAAGATTTCATTTAACTCACTCCACACTAGTGTAGACTACTAAACCAGTGCCCACCTGGAGTGCCCACCTCCAGACTGTTAAGTGAAAGAGAAATAATACTGTATCTTGTATAAGTCACAGCTATTCGAGGTTCTTGTTACATGCAGCTAAATCCACATCCTGACTAATGCAGAATATCTCCCCTCCTGCTTTACAACATAAACATACAAAAATTAAAGATGAATTTAAAAAAATCTAAATATACCATTCACTTAGCCCAGTAATCACAGTTTGGGGGCTCCATTGTACAGAACGAATGGATGATAAGAATCTAAAAGAGTCTTATTATAGCAC